TGTTAATTTATGTATTTATCGAACTTAGGCCTAACATAAGTTAAAGTTTTGTAAAGTACGTCCTATATACAAGTAGATTTACACATTTCGTTTACATTTCTACGATTACAATTCGTTTGTATTGTGCTAGAAATGTGATATTCAAAGAAGTACCGTTACGATAAAGATACAAATTTGGCCGGAAATGTTTTGCGAGTCTCTGCTAGTAGGTATAAATTTTTAGTTTACGGTATAAAAAATGTTTTTACGAAGTTACGCCAGTATCAAATTTCGTAACTCGTACATATCAATTTCTGAGCATGTTAGGCTCCATAAATAATTGGGTTCGAATCCCCATCCCACCAAACATGCTCGCCCTTTCAGCCGTGGGGGCGTTATAAGTGACGTTCAATCCCACTATTCGTTGATAAAAGAGTTTCCTAACAGTTGGCGGTGGGTAGTGATGACTAGCTGCCTTCCCTCTAGTCTTTCACTGCCAAATTAGGGACGGCTAGCGCAGATAGCCCTCGTGTAGCTTTGAGCGAAATTAAAAACAAACAAACCATACAAAACTATTTGAGGAATTTTTGTATTTTTTTCACGGTGAAATTCATGCAAAGTTTTTCAACCACCGGTCTACGTACCACCGTCGATTCGTCCGTGGAATTTCACAAAACCAAACAAGCAAAAACTGGCAGAATATCCATATGTAAATCATAATGGTGTTACGTTGTACTTGCATATTAGTGGTCCGAACAGTTTAGGGAGGCAGCAAGCTGCTCCCTGGTATCGAAAAAGTTGAGAAACGCTGCTTTACAACACGCTAGTGTAACTTGCACATTCCATATTTGAATTGTCTTTCTTGACGAACGCTGTAAACTTTTCGTCAGAAATATTAACATAAACAGTTACCAAAACGTTAGAAAATCCACTTTGTATTTTCTCATACTATGAATAATACGTTTTTGTCATAGTGTTTCCAAGCAATTTTTCTCATCCACAACATCTAAAAGCACGTGACGCTACATACATCTTCTTTTTCTTTTTAAAGCGAGAAACTAGTTTTAAGTTTATGTTTTT